AATGAAGACACCATCTTCCACATACATCCATGCTCTATTAAGGATTATCTGCACGATGCCCGTGTAAAGGCAACGTTCAAACATAAAGGGTGAGATATCATAATTATATAAAAGAATGCATAATAATAAGTAAGCATCAGATTATTCATGTACACTCACTCATTCCACCAAATCACACTACCATACAACCAAATACAACAACGTAACATATATGCAATGAAATAAGACTCAACAACTTGACTCATTGTATGTGGTACCAATACGTGAACTCTCAGGTTCACCGCTCTTATCCCCACCTAGGATCAGAGCTCATAAAAAATTATCACCATAGGCAACGCTTCACTAATTCCATCACCATATGAATTAACTACTCGCACCCAACCCACACAATTGGATTGAGGCTTACCAAAACTCGTTACCATCACCATAGGTAATGCTTCACTAATTTCATCACCATATGAGTTAGTTACTCACGCCCAATTACCATAGGATTAAGGCTCACAGACCACCGTCTCACATCATGATGCATGACATACACAACCGACATGCAACAGCAACAACAACAATAACAAGTACAATGAAATCACCTTAGTCAAGGTATTACGCCAATACTGACCACCATGCACCAAACACATGCTATAACATTCAACAACATCAATACAACGATATAACAAGCAACAACAAATACATTTACGAATATATCACACCACAACATAAACACTACAATGTACTTTAACTATAAATACATTTCAGGTACAAAAACTAATTTTTAGTTAAAGTACATTACACCAGCTCCCTGAAACTTTGAACGATATGAATTTTTAAAAAATTTCAAAAATTGTTCCCAGTGTAACCTGTTACACCATTTGAGGTAACCGGTTACACTCTGTAACCAGCCCCTACCACGCCTCTTCCACTCAGTGTAATCGGTTACCACAATTACGATAACCGGTTACACCCTCACGAACTTGCATAGAAACACATTTCTTAAGCAGTGTAACCGGTTACACCATTTTAGGTAACCGATTACACTGTAAGCAGATGCACTTTTCTGCTATTTTTTAAAACGAAAATCACTTTTCTCTTCAACCTAAAATCCCATTTTTCATACAACTCGTGCATTACAATATTTTACACAAAAGTCACTTTTCATAAAAGTCACCAAACCCAATTTTTTCCCAAAAAGCTCATATTTTCGAGTTCCAACTCTGATATGTAACAACCATCAACAACACAATATCTACATCATATAATTCCACCAACACATGGTTCTAACAACATCAATTCATAATTCATCCAAAACAATTATCAACATAACATCATCTTACAATTCATCATCATACAGATTCAATCAAAACACATCAACATGACATAATCATACAACTTCAAGGTTCAAAAATTGAGAAAATAATCATAACATAGCAACCACAAATTATTATACAATCCTTTATATAATTAGAATCTCACCCTTACCTTAGAGTTCTTGTAAAACTTGTTCAACCTTTAGCAATGAGAATTCTTCCTAGCTTCTCCTTCCTTGCCCTAACTCTCTTCTCCCTTTTCTCTAAACTTTTTCTCAATTTTAATAATAATCTTCAATAATCATTTTAATTAAATAATATTCACCTAATATTATATAATTAACTAAATATTACTAATATAATTTAATTGGTTTTACTTACAACACCATGCACCTCTACACTATTACTCACTCACTCTCAACACCTTAATTTTACTTTTTAAGACCACTACTCCACACCCAGGGTATCCCTTAACACACCAAAACACCAATCAACATACACAATTACACAACATCACATAATTTTATTGTGGAAAAATAAATAAACAAATGAGGTGTTACAATGGGGCCCTCACTAACATACCTTAATATATATATTTATACACCGTAGTTGAGTTGTTTTTAACATCTATAAGTTTGTATCAATTCCAATTTAATTTGCAAACAACCAACTTCAAGTTTTGATTTGTTATACTCCTACCTCATTTTGTTAGCAAATTTTAAAAAATGCAGTTGTCATACCTCGATTTTGACCTGACATTTCAAAACTTTCATTTTCGTTCTTATTTTCACATTGCATCATCTGCATAGCATAACTTGTCTTTCATCGTGCATACTGTCTAATTTGTCAGCCAGAGTAAATTTATCGGATTTACAGTCAAATCGGTCAAACTGAAAGTCGACTGTGCAAAAAAGATCAGCGATTGTAAAGTTTCGAATTTAAGCTTGCAGAAGTCAGTGATATTGATCTACTGTTCACGTAGTTTAACCTGACACGCTTGTCTTATTTTTCAACGACTTTTCATCACATTTTGATCAGTCTGAGCATGTTTATCGGTCCTGATTTATTTCAAAATCGGACAAAATGCTGTATCTTTTTTAGTGGTTTATTCTGCGCTGATAATTTTGGTGCAGTCATTTTTATTTTTCGAGAACTTCGATACCCGACTTTTTATTCATTTTTTATCATTTTATTTTTTATTTTTAGTTAAAATAATCTTTTAATTTATTTAAGTTAATTAGAAAATTAATTTAGTATTTTTTAATTAATTATGATTTTTTAATTTATATCTATCTTTTTCTTTTCTTTTAAAAATAAAATAATTTAAAAAATATTTGTTTTTATCTCTTGTATATTAAGTTTAAGAAAGCATCTTTATTTTCTTCTCAAAAATAACACTGGACTATGTGTGTTATGTTGTTGATGGAGGGGAGCCGGCGTTGTTTGTGAGAGAAGAGTTTTTGAAATTAAAAGAAAAATCAGAAAGAACAAAAGAAAAAGATTACTTCAAAAATCAATTGACCAAGATTACTTCAATGCCCTTTCCTTTGAAAATTTTCCACTACAAGTTGGACAAAACGGTAAACAACTAATTGTCAATATTCTTCTCTTTGCAACCCCTCACCTTTTGCCATCTGTCAAGCTTTGTTTCCCTCCTCCCCCTCAAACTTCTGAACTTTGAGTTTTACCCATCAAACTTCTTGTAATCCCATTGTATTACTCCCTCCTCCCCACAAACATCATCAAGCTAGAATTTATTGATAGCTATGAGCAGTTCACGAAGCACAAGGATTTTTGAAGCACACTGCATATCTATTGAAGACACCAAAAACGCAGATGATACGATGGGTAAGGAAAGTAGATCTTGTGACAGCTAGAGTTTTATATTCAAGGTGTGTGTTTGTATCCTTTGTATTTATAATTTTAAGGATTTTATGTGTTATTCATCATTTGCATGAGTTTGGTTACAAGGTATGTTGATATTTTTCGATTTCTTTGTGAGTTGTACTTAAATGAACAATCTTTTATTTCTAACAATAAATCTTGATGTAAACATTTGCGTAAATGTGTTTGTTGTGATGTTGAGTTATAAGTAAAACAAGTTATCGTATTTCTGACGCTATTATTTCATAAACCAGGATGATATAGAACGATTTGGAGATGTTGGCGCTTTAGAAGATAATGTGGAATCCTTTCTATCAAATGACAGAGGAAATGGTGTAAATCTCTACGGGACTATAAAACAAAGTCCATAGCATTGTGGTTGTGTCTTTCTTCTGGGTGTGTCCTTCAAAATGTAAGTTTTATGGGTGTGTCTTTCTTCTGCGTTTGGGAAGTATTATGGAAAAGTATGACCCACCCACTTTTATTTCAGGTTTCACCTTTGCTGAATTTGGTTGTATAAGAACAAGGAACATAGTTACTTGCTATCACTTTTCTTCGGATGGAAAGTTGCTAGCCAGTGTCGGGGATGACAATAAGGTAATTTGCTTGCATAAAAAGGATATTGTGCCATATTCAAATGTATTAGTTACTCTTTTTTATCTTTCTTTCATTGCAGCCAACCTATTGTGTTCAAGAATATAGTGCGCATAATTAAGCTATTATGTCCCTTGGTTTCCACCTCAAGAAGACTACAATGTTATGTGTCTCTAATATTCATCACAATCGTTTGTTTCAGGAAGGTAGTGCAGAAGTGAGGTTTCAGCCTCGATTAGGACAGTTACTTGCAGCAAATTCTGATAAAGTGGTGTCTATTTTCAACGTCAAATTTGACAGACAAATTTACTCACTGTCGGTAAAAGATTGAGTTGCTCTATATAGCTATCGTGATGTTTTTCAATTGAAGATTTTTTCTATGTGGATTTTGTATTTAAATCACTTGTCTTTGTAGTGCGAATTCGGAGATATGTTGGCATCTGTTAGTCCAAATTCAGTAAAGATGGCACTGACTATTGAATGGAGGCCTCTCTATGATACACTGTTTAGCACATGTTTTACCAAATAAGTTTTACACTAATATTGTTGATGTTGCAGCATTAATTGGTTTAAACTTTATAGTTATTATGTGTTGTTTATAGTTTGCGATGCATAGCTCTAGAATCTTTGATAGAAAATTAGGTTTACAAGACATTTGATTGTAACAAATTGTTTATCGGTTTGCACGGTTTATTTCGTTCTCTTTAGCTGCTATGAAGAAGTGGTTTGGTAAGAGTTTAATGGTTTAGGAAATTGTGTGTTTATGACAGGTCTTGAGATTTTGAGTCATGTTAACAAGAGAGTGAAGCTTCAGTCTGATATTGGTTTGCCTTTGACTGAGTTGTGGAAATTGTATTCGGAACCTGGTGCTGCTCCGATGATAAGGAATTTTTGCATTGTCTATATAGAGATGGCTTTTTAACGTGTTGATGCAAAGGTTTTTCAATCATTATTATTTCTTAGTGCTTGTTTGTTACTTTGTTATTAGTGTTACTGTTATGTGGTTATAATGTGAATATTGAAACTGGTAATTTAAGCACTTGGTTAAAAATTGATAGTATGGCTGGGCTCTTTTGAAGCTTATTTTTTTCTTTTAATAAACTAAGCATGTACACACACATTCACATTCCCTTATTGAATGCTTATCATGGAGCTTGTGGAAACAATCTAATGATCATGCATTTTGATTAGGTAAAGGAAGGTTTGGCACCTGAACTCTTGATGAACATCTCAAAACTTCCTGTTCAACACCAGGAAATTATCCTTAGAATCATTGTTAAGCTATCAACCTTTCCGAATATTTATGTTATATAGCTAAATGTTGTACACGCGACTTTGTTAGATACTGAATACTTCTGATTTTGAGTTTTTGCAAGTGGGACTATGAGGACAATGTCTGGTATTGACTTTGGTCATTTATTCCTTTTTTGGTCAATGATTTTATTTATCTATATTATATTTGGTAATAAATTAAGCAGGGCTTACATACCCTTCTCTTTCATGCTTAACAGATTGTTGACAGCTGTTAACAGCTGTCACTAACAGCAGCAGCTTATTGTAAGTTACAATAGAATAATCAGGGGTTCGTAAAAGCATAACCATATATGCAACAAAAATGTTCATATACCTACGAGTAGCCATTATGAACCCACATACAAGAATTGAAGATTTGTATGATAAATAGGAAGAAGAAGAATCAATCTATCATTGGTCAAAGAAATATGAGCTGGAAAAGGAGATGGTTCTCCTTCCAAGTGTATCCCCTTTGTACTACAAAGCAAATTATCAGTTCCCAAATGCTAAATACAATAAATCTTCCTTTAACCTATTTAAGCTAATCCCCTGCTCTTACTACAACCTCTTAAGTATTTCTATAACTACATGTAACTAACTGTACAACTTCTAGGGTCCTATCAAAACTAAAGTAAATGTCGGCACAAGCAAAAGTGTTCGCTTACAATATGTTTTCCTATTTTGTTATCTCCAAATTCACCCTTGCCTGAGAAGCTGAGAGAACTTGAGTATTGACTTTAGCTGTAATAAATTCTGGTTGGTTTGTGAGAAAAGGAGGAAAGTTTTAAGAAAGGACTCAAAATATCCATCTGCCCCAGAATGCTGCATGTCATAATTATTCTGTCCTAAACCCATTTTATAGTCTTATTTTCCCTGATACATGTTTGTGAGAATCGTGCTTAGTTATTGATCTTTGGGTTATGAGCTATGTTATGACTACTACTTCTAATGAACAACTTTCTAAGGTAATTGGTGAATGCCACTCTGGTCAAATTGCTGATGAAGTTGCTGCGAAGTTTAAAGAAGTGAACTACTCTCAAGATAGGGAGCTATTTATTGAGTTTTGTCTTCATACAATGTTGTACCAGAGGGTCTCTCAAAGGTCTGGAATTGAATTTTACTAAAGGGAGTTTGTGATATTTCAGTTTGTTTTGTCTCGAATTAGTTTGATTCATTCCCATTTAATCAAGGGATAGTTTCTGTTTCGTTGCAGTGGTGGATTCCCGCCTGGTCTTTCTGTTACTCAAGTCAATTGTGATACATATACATTGGAAACCATGCTCTTACATCCTATAATTTGAATTGATCCCATTTCTTAGTTGTTATTATTGTTGTTGTTTAGGTTGATGCTACTCAAGATTTGCGTGGATCATGTCACCGAGTATCTGGGATCTGCCGCATTCAGTAAAGCAATTCAAGCTCATGATCTACATACAAGTGTGGATGTTTGTATTAAAATTATAAAGAACAACAAAGATTTCTTTGATCAAAGCCTTGACGAGATCAAACTCCTCAAATATGTCAATAAGCATGATCCTGGAGACAAGTATCACATTTTGCGGTTATATGATTACTTCTACTATCGAGTAAGTTATATTGTATTCGCTACTGATCTTATTAATACTATTACATTTTCCTTTCGATCCGTTGTAGTGCAACATTAGATATTTCCCTTCCAGGAAATTTTAACATTAACTTAATAACGATATACAACGAACTTTTCCATTCACCATTCCTTTCTGTTGTCGCACTGCAGGAACATTTGTTAATAGTATGTGAGTTACTCAAAGCCAACTTATATGAGTTTCATAAATTTAATAGAGAATCGGGAAGGGAAGTTTACTTTACAATGCCAAAATTGCAGGTTTGTCGGGTTCTGCTCACATTTCATTGTTTTTTGTTTTCGTTTTGTCTAAACTAGCGTGCAGACAGGCACCGACATCTCGGTCTGTCCGCTTTTCCCTAATGAAGACCAGTCGGGTTTCACAATATCATAAGTGTTTAATGTGTTCCCCTTCTTTATGTATCTGGAATTAATAATAACTCTATGGTTAGTGCTTCTGAGAAATCTGTTATGGAAGAAAGTCGATCAAATGACCTCAAGGCGTTAGAACTTGCCCTTACAATGAAAAAACTGAAATTGAAAGAGACGCAGTTGGTTTTCAACTCTGATTTGAATCATCTAGAGAGATCAAAGTTGACCACGGGAATGTCAAAGGCGTCTTTTAGAGTTAAAAAGTTTAAGAATCAATTAGAAGATTTGAGACATGGTGAACTGATTCAAAACTGCATAGACTGTCTTATTGTTGGTCTTCTTGTCATGTCCTCCTCACTTACATATGGTGCTTATGTTTATTCCTATGAACAGATTGTTGAATCAACTACATCATGCAATCGTTCAAATAAGGCAAGTATATAATCTTTTTCCGCTAATTATGTTGTTATTTTAGTGCTTTCTAAAGTCATGTGTAACAATACATTTGATACCCTGGCCCCATTTTGATAGTAGTATGACATTAATTTCAGCTGCATATTGATCCAACACTGCCTTATTTGAAAAATGTTAGTGATGCCTTTTTCTATTTTAGGAATCCAAGTCGTGGTGGAGTCCGAAATCAATGTTCTCTTTGAATCAAAGTTACACGTTTTATGGTGTCAAGTTCAAGTTATGAGCCGAATGGCATTTGACGTCTTAATGATTTTTGCAATAGCATATTTACTAATCTTGAGATCAACAACGGTATCAGACACAATGTCAGTTACTTTCATTCTTTTGCTATTAGGAGTTGCTTGTGGCTATTGTGGCTATTGTTTTCACTCCCACTTTGTTCAAGATCCTTCATGGACACAATGCCAGTTACTTTCATTCTTTTGCTATTAGGAGTTGCTTGTGGCTATTGTGGCTATTGTTTTCACTCCCACTTTGTTCAAGATCCTTCATGGATCAGTTGCTACATTGCAACAAACAAAGCAGAATATAATTCTTCCATATTGGTTTCGCCGATTTTGGTTCTATGGAACTTTGCTTGTGTTTCTACCATTATTTTGTGGTCTTACGCCTTTTGCGGGTGTTAATCAATGAAAATACCATTTTTTGATGAAGGTGCCAATATTTAACAAATTGGAATGAAAGGATGTTGTTTCAGATAATTAATTTGATATAATTAATTTAATATACTATTCATTTGATATAATTAATTTGCATTAGATAATTAAATTTATCAATTCATATTTATAAATACATATAAATAAATTATATATCAATTAAAATTAATGAATCCGTGCGGACGCACGGGTCTTTTACTAGTAAGAATTGGAAATATAAATTTGTGAGAATAAAGAGGTGAGATGGCAAGTCACAACTAAGGAGGATGGTGCCCCTGGCTTTCCTTTATCTTTGATAAAAGATCCAATGATGATTACGAGATTTAATTTAGAATATCTTACCAAGTTGGATAACAATATTTTAATGTTAAACTAACACAGGTTGGATAATAATATTATTGTTAGCATTTGTGAATAATAATTTTTTTTATATATATTTCACATGATAGCATAATAAAAAATAGTTATTTTACATATTATAATTTATATATTTTTAAATTGTCATAAAAGTAATCAGTATCTATTTATAATTTTTTATACTATATGATTAATATGCTATATATTATTAGAGGGGACAAAATCAAAAGCAATACCCAATCGTCTACAACATCATAGAAAACTGTCATATACTACGTATGGGAGTCCAATATATGAAAATGTGATCCAATATATGAGAATGTGAAAACAAGTTTCATGAATGTTTGGTCATGAGGTGCTGCTCCATTTACTTCTACTAAAGCTCATTGTCAATCTAGTGTAACAAACTTTCTAAATACACATTTGCATTCTTCTAGGCTCTTTCTACTTCCAAAGACCTTCATTTGCATTCTTCTAGGCTCTTTCTACTTCCAAAGACCTTTTTCTTTTTTGATTTGGACAACATGTTGAACTTTACTGCAGGCACTCTTCCAAAAAAACCATTTCTTTTTAATATTTGGATACTGCAGGGACTATTTATAAAACAAAACTGGTTACTCCCATTGATCTAATGAGCTTTGCTCTTGAAAATTTTGAGATTGAAGAAGCCAGCTGACCAATTTAAAGGGTTTGAACAATCATATATATATACATCACTGCCACGCTAAACCTGAGAACTCATTGAAGATGAAACTAAATAATATATTCATACCTGCCTCATTGAAGATGGAGAAATAACTGCTCCTGAGAACTCAGGCTAGTGATCATACTCATGGTCATGGTATCACTTAATTGCGGCCTCAACTTTCCTGTGTCCTTGTCCTTGTTTTGGCTAGCATATTATTACATATGATGACCTTGATCAATATGGTCCAATTCCTAACTAGATCTTAATCAATGATTTCTATTTAAGTGACAGTTATCCATGTGCTGTCAATAACAGCTTCTTGAATATCTTGTCTCTCACTTCAACCATGATTAAATAGACTGAGACAATAGAACCATAGTAGCTTTTTTCAGCTTTAATAAGTAGCAATTTACCTTCTATAGAGTTGGTTATGCCTTTAAAGGTCAACAAATTGAGTCAAACATTGCCGCATAATGTAGAATCCAACAGGATATGGAAAACAAAATTGAGAATAGGAGAGTAAATAATAAGTTAATGATAGTAAACTATATAAAACATAATAAAATGTAATACACGATGCATAAACTGACAACTCAATTAGCAAATAAATGAAGAATAACATAGCAAGTGGAATATTGCATACACCATAAATTAATTAACAGATACCCATGAAATCAATAGTAATCAGAATAAGCATAAAATTAATAACAAGAGCATACATTAACATATAGGCCTAAGTTGAGTCACATAGCACAAAATCTACAAAGGTGATATCAAGCTCTCAGCATAGACTTCTTGTGCCATCATCTCATCATGGATGTTGTCTTGAATCTTAAAAGTATTATTTATGAAATCATAAACCGCCAAATTAAATTTCCCATTCTTGATAAACTCCATCAGCACTTGGTCATTCTTTGAAATACATAATGCTCTGGCATTGCCATAAACGCCACATTCTTTCATATGAGGAACACTTAACAATTTACTCCAAAACTTTTCATTTCCATATTCTTTCATAACCCAAACATCATAAAAATTGTCCCTTAGAGACATGAGGGACAAACAACCCTTCAATGTCCCTAAGATCATAAAAGAAGTTGTGAATTGCACATCATTGACAGGAAATGAAAGGTTTTGATAGGACTCTTTCTCCAAATCAAGAGAAACAATGAACCGTGAGCAAGAAGATGAATCTAATGTCAACCAATTAATAGAGTCATAATCGTATGCCAACCAAAAAACAGAGTCACTCACAAATATTCCGGGTACAGGAGGAGCAAACAAAGGATTTGGGAAGTCTTGAATCCTTCTCCAATAATCAGTACCCACAGTATGAACTCTGACTTCATTTTTTCTACCAGTAGTATTAAGAGAAATAATCTTATAATTATTGGTGAAACGATCATACACTAAGGTGTAAGAGGTAACTAATTGGTGTGGAAATTTCAAAGGAGGCAACCTCTTACATTTTCTAATAGAAGGGTTACACAAAACAACTGAACGATCACTTACCATAAAACAAACCATGCCGTCACAGGTGGAAACTCCATTACCATAGGCATTTTCGTTAAGAATCTCTCTAATACAGTGGCTGAACTGTTTGACACTGGTAGTTAAGAAACTTTCTAGTCCGGAACTGAAGATAGAGGAGATTGGAGAATGATATAGAACGAATTGAGATGAAGATAGGATGAGGTGGTGGCGGTCATGGCTGGAGGTTCACAAGCGGAGGTGCTTCTTGGCGAACTTGGAATCTTGGGAGATAAGAGAATTCCATGATTTACTGACGCAGCGGAGTTGAATGAGAAGTTTGACGGAGAGTCTACACAGTATTTCTGCCACCAGATCGAATGGAAGTTGCGGCGGCGCGTGAATAGAATTGCTGAGAGGCATTGATGATAGGGTTCCGGCTGTTTCCTCCGTCAGTGACTGAGAAGAACATGCGGTTTCGTTTTGGCTATCGCCTATGCGACCTTCCGTCATACGAGTTATTTATGGGGAAGTAGGATAAAACTTTTTTACAAATGTATTAGAATCGAGTGTTGCGCTCCTTATGATATATATTCAATTGTATGAACTCCTTAAATTACTTTTTCATCACAAATTATTAAACTAGTAAAATGACATTTTAGTAATAAATTAATATTTATTTATTTTTTTCATTCTCATCTATTATTACAACATGACAAGTGGCACTCATTTTCTCTTTTCTTTTAAATTTCAAATTTTTCTCACATTTCTTTTTTCCACACTTTTTCCTTTCATTTTAATTTTGTTTCTATCTATTTATTATCACTAAAAATACTATTAATCAATTTTTTAATTTTAATAAAATTAAAAATTTATTTATCTCACGGGTCACTTTCAACACATCTATTTTATTTTAATCAACAATTATTTTTATTTTTTTTGCTTTTTTTGATACAATTAAATTTATATGATTATTGTTTATTTTACAATTAAGTAAATCATTTTAAATTTTGCATTTCTATCTAAATATATTTTATATCATATCAATTTTTTTTTATTTCCCGGGTTAATCAGTACAATTTCTATTTTATTTTCATCAACAATTTGTCTTGATTTGAAAGACAAAATCTTTATTTCAAAATAACTTTCTTCATCTCACGAGTCATTTTTTCCTTTTTACATAATTATTTGATACAATTGAGTTTATATAAATATTTTTCATTTTAAAGTTAAGTAACTAATTTCAAATGTACATATTCATATAAATACATTTACATTGTATCAAATAAACTTTTTATTTCACGGGTCACTATTAGCACAATACATATTTTATATTTATCAATAATTAACTTAATTTGAAAGATAAAATTCTTATTTTTAAATATTAAATATTCTTTTTTTATCTCACGAGTTCCTTTTTTTCTTTGTATTTTAATACAATTGAATTTATATAATCATTGCTAATTTCAAATTTAAATACGTATATAAATATATTTTATATTGTACTAAATTTATATATAAATTTAAATATCTTTTATATCATATCAAATAATTTTACCAAGATGACGTCCCTCATTCCGAGCTTGTACACATGCTTCCAGAGCTACTCGATTCGCTACGGCACCAGGTGCATTTCCCCAAGGGTGTCCTAAAGTTCCTCCACCGAATTGGAGTACATAATCATCTCCAAATATCTCGGTCAGAGCAGGCATATGCCAAACGTGAATACCCCCTGAAGCAACAGGGATAACACCTGGTAAAGAAACCCAATCCTGAGTGAAATAAATACCGCGACTTCGATCTTTTTCAATATAATCATCACGTAGTAAATCAACAAAACCTAAAGTAATCTCCCTTTCTCCTTCAAGTTTACATACTACAGTACCAGCGTGAATATGATCTCCACCAGGCTTTAGCTAATACACGAAAGTGCATACCATGATTTTTTTGTCTATCAATAACTGCATGCATTGCACGGTGGATATGAAGAAGTAGACCATTATCGCGGCAATAGTGAGACAGGGTAGTATTTGCAGTGAATCCACCTGTTAAGTAGTCATGCATTACGATAGGAACGCCCAATTCTCTAGCAAATACAGCTCTTTTTAGCATTTCTTTTCACATGTACCCGCAGTAGCATTCAAATAATGTCCTTTGATTTCCCCTGTTTCGGCCTGTGATTTATAAATTGCTTCGGCACAAAATAAGAAACGGTCTCTCCAACGCATAAATGGTTGGGAGTTCACATTTTCATCATCTTTGGTAAAATCAAGTCCCCCGCGAAGACATTCATAAACTTCTCTACCATAATTCTTAGCTGATAAACCCAATTTGGGTTTTATAGTACATCCCAATAGGGGACGTCCATACTTGTTCAATTTATCTCTCTCAACTTGGATTCCGTGAGGAGGACCTTGGAAAGTTTTAACATAAGCATTAGGGATTCGCAAATCTTCCAGACGTAGAGCGCACAAGGACTTGAACCCAAATACATTACCTACAATGGAGGTAAACATGTTAGTAACAGAACCTTCTTCAAAAAGGTCTAAGGGATAAGCTACATAAGCAATAAATTGATTATCTTCTCCAGGAACAGGCTCGATCTCGTAGCAGCATCCTTTATAACGATCAAGGCTGGTAAGTCCATCGGTCCACACAGTTATCCATGTACCAGTGGAAGATTTTGCAGCTACCGCTGCACCTGCTTCTTCAGGCGGAACTTCAGATTGAGGAGTTACTCGGAATGCTGCCAAGATATCAGTATCTTTGGTTTGATAGTCAGGAGTACAATAAGTCAATTTATAATCTTTAACACCAGCTTTGAACCCAACCTTTGCTTTAGTTTCTGTTTGTGGTGACATAAATCCCCCCCTACAACGCATAATTAAGAATTGAATTATAGCAACAACAAGGTCTACTCGACATAACTTAAGAGTTAATCAAACCTTTTTACAAATGATCCATCAACTAATATTATCAATTAATCCGAATGGGTCATTGTTAAATTTTACCATGATATTTGATTTGGCAAATACATCATTATTCTATACTCTTTCATATATATGGCGCAACCCAACCGTTTTTTTCGAATCTCTTTTTTTTTTTTTTTTGAATTTTGGAATATAATTTTCGAATCTAAATAATAAATAAAAAATATACTCTTGACCTTGACAGTGATATAGGTTGTATATGTAAATCCTAGATGTCAAAATCGACAGAATTTGCCCAATAAAAAGAAAAATCGGTAAAAAGAAATAATATGCTCAGTATAAATCCTATGATGAGGAAATAAAAAATAAGGACCAATGAGATAGAAAAACAGAATCATAAACAAAGTTCAGGTTGGAATTCCATAGATAATATAGATAGTATTGTCTACAATCTGGATGACTGGGTTGACCTTAAAAATTAAATCATTGAAATTTGAAAACAATTGAATTGATTGGATGGTGAAAATCCATTATTAAATTACATTTATTATTCCATATTTTTTTATTATTAAATATTAAATAATTTATTAAATATGAATTAATACATTTCATTTGTTATTAAATATTCAAATAATGAACCAATCCACTTGCGTTGTTCTCGAACATTTTTTTCTTTATTTGAATTTTTTTTTTTTCAAAAAAAAAAAAGGATATTTTTCAATATGACAATAAATCCTCCCCCTTCTGATACTGAGGTTTCTGCTCTTGAAAACAAAAATCTGGGGCGTATTACGCAAATAATCGGTCCGGTACTCGATATAGTTTTTCCACCAGGGAAGATGCCTTATATTTACAACGCTCTGATAGTTCAAGGTTGAGATACAGTTGGCCAACAAATTCGCGTAACTTGTGAAGTACAACGATTATTAGGAAATAATCGAGCTAGAGCTGTAGCTATGAGTGCTACAGATGGTCTAAAGAGAGGAATGGAAGTGATTGACACAAGAGCTGCTCTAAGTGTTCCAGTCGGCGGAGCAATCCTAGGTCGAATTTTCAACGTGCTTGGAGAACCCATAGATAATTTGGGTCATGTAGATACTCGCACAACATCTCCTATTCATAGATCTGCGACTGCCTTTATACAGTTAGATACACAATTATCCATTTTTGAAACAGGAATTAAAGTAGTCGATCTTTTAGCTCCTTATCGCCGTGGCGGAAAAATAGGACTTTTTGGTGGAGCTGGGGTAGGTAAAACAGTACTCATTATGGAATTGATCAATAACATTGCCAAAGCTCATGGAGGTGTATCTGTATTTGGCGGAGTAGGTGAGCGTACTCGTGAGGGAAATGATCTTTATATGGAAATGAAAGAATCCGGAGTAATTAATGAAAAAAATATTGCGGAATCAAAAGTCGCTTTAGTCTATGGTCAAATGAATGAACCCCCTGGAGCTCGTATGAGAGTTGGTTTAACTGCCCTAACTATGGCAGAATATTTTCGAGATGTCAATGAGCAGGACGTCCTTCTATTTATCGACAATATCTTCCGTTTTGTCCAAGCCGGATCCGAAGTATCGGCCTTATTGGGCCGAATGCCTTCCGCTGTGGGTTATCAACCAACCCTGGGTACTGAAATGGGTATTTTACAAGAAAGAATTACTTCTACCAAAGAAGGGTCAATAACTT